ATGCGAGTATGTGTGACCGCTGCAGCTAAGCGAGCTGTCGTCGTCGAGGAGGACGACCTCCTCGCGCAGGCCAATATCCAGGCGAATCCAGTCAAGGTGAGGTGTCTAATGCCCTGCATGCTGAAGTCGACATGTTTGACAACGAGTGCTTCAACGTACAAGGCATGCCAAACACGTCAAGCATCATGACTTCGAGATACGCATATAAATTGAAATTCGTAAAGAAAGAGAATGGCGAGATGGAGCGTATCCTCAGGCTACGCTTGGTACTTCGGGCGTTCATGGACCTCGAAGCCTTGGGCGTGGAGACTTTCCCAGGAACGGCGCGGCGGTCGAGTCGTGCATTACTCGCTGGCACGGCGGCGTGCAAGATGCAGTGGATCATTCCTTCCCATGACATCACCGTGGCTTTCCTGAGAGGGCTAGCCTACTGGGGGCTTGCTGAGACAACCGGTGAAACGGAACGTGTGGCGTGCTTTGCGTTGCCTCCTGGGCCAGCATCTGTGCTTGAATCCCTGTCAGGATTTGAGCACTACGATGATTCGAAGCACTGCCTGCAGCGCCTCCAACCAGGCACAGGTGCCAAGGACGCACCGACAACCTTCTGACTGAAGCTCAGAATGACCACGAGAGGGTTCGGTCTCAAACCCACGTCTTGCGACGAGGAGTTTCAGACAAGCTCTAACCTTCTTGCAGCCAGGCACGTTAATGACATTAACGTGGCTGGTACTGAGTGAACTATCGACAAATACGTCATGTGTGGTGAGGACACTTTTGGTAATTGTGAACTCAACAAACACACGTGTACCAACTGTGCGGTGAGGTACGCAAAGGATGGGGACGGCAAGGTTACATTTGATCAAGACGAATATATAAAACAGCTCCGTCCTATCCATCATCATGAGCCCACTGGCGCAGACGCTGACGTCAAGTCATCGAAGATGGTCACTGACATGTTTGTCAGCGTCAGTTGCGCCGTGGCTTACGCCCAGATCACACAGGTGTGGTTGATGGTGTATGTTGTGGTTCAAGGGTCGAATCGCCCCCTGGCGTTTAAACATATTTTGTTTTGTGGGAGGCGGAACGCGTCGTTTGCTTGCTGTTGGTATCGGCGTGGTATACCCGCCATGCTTTTCTTCGGCGCTGCCTCCCACTCCTCTCTCTCTCTCGCTCTCTCTCTCTCTCTCTTTCCGCCGCCGTCCGCCTGAACTTCAGCCCAAGCAGAGCCTAAGCCTCAGCCTGGCCCAGCTTGAGCCCCAGCCGAAGTTTAGCCGAAGTCTAGCCTAAGCCTCATATTCAGCCTCTGCCTAGAGCAGGCTCTGCTTCTTCAGCCTGGCCGAATCCTGGCCTGAACCTACACTTAAGCCTCGGCCTAGCCTAAGCTTTAGCCTAAGCGTTGCCTAAGCCTGACCCAAACCCAAGCGTAAGCTTAAGTTCCTAAGCGTAGCCTAGGCCTGGCCCACACCTTAGCCTAAGCCTAAGCCTCAGCCTAGCGCACACCTCAGCCTAAGCCTAGCCTGAGCCTCGTCCAAACCTCAGCCCGAGCTTCGGCGGAAGCCTCAGCCTAAGCCAATCCCGGCCTTAGCCTAAGCTTCAGTCTAGCTTCAGCCTAAACCTCAACCTCAGCCTAATATATCCCGGCCTCAGCCTGAGCCTCGGCCTGAGCCTAGCCTCAGCCGAAGCCTAGCCTGAGCCTCGTACCTTCAATTTCTATTACAATATTTGGGTATTACTACTACGCCATGACTGCAACATTTTTGCCATCACAGTATCAGGGTACGACTATTCCTACAACGCAATTCCTAGTAGCACAGCTCGACCATATTAGAGTGATTCAACATTGAAGTGTTATAAGACCGTGCTGTTTCCACAACCACCACTACGTTGTTACCGCTACTACTGTACCAGAGCAGTAGTACGACTTAATTCGAATGCTATTAATAGAGTACTACTACGGCACTACGCTGCTAGGGCGCGGCGGCCGTGCTTGACTAAGCCAATGTTAAAGGTCCATAGCGAGTACTGCCAGTATTCGAGCAATGCCGGAACAGTGCTAACATATCATTTTTGCCATATTATTGTTGCAGTGTTGCATTACGACTATTGCAGCGTCTACTACCACTGTTACAGCGTTACCACTACAGCACTACGTTATGATAGTGCCACAACAGTTTTTTTTGCCATGTTGCGGCAGTGGGGCATTCCTACTACAGTACTGCAGGCAATCGTTGGGTACTACTCTTACGAATCATCTACTAGAGCATTGCTTCTACAGTGACATTACTACACTAGTACACCACTGTTCCACAACCTTACGGAACTATTCCTACAGCGCTACTACTGACGCACCCCAGTTCGATGGTAGTAGTATTATATCCGCGTACGACAGCAAAAAGGTTTTTTTTTTTTTTTTTTTTTTTTTTTTTTTTTTTTTTTTTTTTTTTTTTTTTTTTTTTTTTTTTTTATTACTACTACAGTACTACAGGGCGAGTGCGAAGCCCAGTACTCGAGTATGATCTTTATTGCCAGACCTGAGCACTACCTACTAGGTATTACTGCTACGACTATTACTACTACTACTACTACTACTATTACTACTACTACTACTACTACTACTACTACTACTACTACTACTACTACTACTACTACTACTACTACTACTACTACTACTACTACTACTACTACTACTACTACTACTACTACTACTACTACTACTACTACTACTACTACTACTACTACTACTACTACTACTACTACTACTACTACTACTACTACCACTACCACTACCACTACCACTACTACTACTACTACTACTACTACTACTACTACTACTACTACTACTACTACTACTACTACTACTACTACTACTACTACTACTACTGACTGGATGACTACTGCGCTGCCACTTCGCTGATACAATACAGTTCTGGCTGGGCACGATATTATAATACCACTACTACAGTCCTAGAGTAACACTACCGGATCACGACTGCTACAGTAATGTGCTACGGTTATTGCAGCGCCACCGCTACAGCACTACATCACCAGACTACTACAACAGCGCGGGCATTGTGTATTGCAGTACTGTAGTACCTACGCTGCAAGCAACAATGGTTTATTATTTCAACGAGTACTGTACTAGAGTATTGTTCTACAGTGCCGCTACTACAATAGCATAGCACTGCTCCACAATAGTGCAGCGCTATTCCTACAGCGCCACCGCGAGTGCACATTTCGGCGGCAATACTATTGCATTCGAGTGTTACAGTAGTGGGGTACCTCTACTACAACACTACAGTGCAACTACTACGGCAAACGCTGTAGGGTATTATCTTTACTGCAAGACCGGAGTATTATCATTGCAGCTACAGGGCTGATACAGTGCTTCCACTTCGTTTATGTGATGCGACTACTGGCTGGGCGCGGTACTAGAACAACAACTTGTGCAGTCCTCGGTATTTTTTCCCAAGGCACAAAGGGGGAGAGAAGGGGGGCGCGAGGAGATGGGGGGGGGCGTGAGAGGACAGGGTTCCTCCCTTCCCTCCCCGTTGCTGCTGACGCCGGGGGGGGGGCAAAACAAAACAAAACAACAAAATAACAACAACAAATTTTTTTTTGCCCCCCCCCCCCCCCCTCCCAGGCGCCAGCAGCAGCGGGGAGGCGTGGAGGGTGCCTCCCCTCCCGCCCCACGTGGCCACGAACCAAAGGCAGCGAAGTTCGCAAATCGAGCACACCACCGCGCGGCCAATTCAGCTTCGCAAAGCGAGGTAGGTAAAACACAAAAATCGCAGCGGAAAAACAAATCAGGGCAAAAGGATAAAAAGGATTTCGCAGAGGGGGCGAGTCTCAACAGCGTGTCCGAGAACCGACCGACATGCAAGTGCGACGATTGAGCGCGAGCACCAGAAAGTTGCAGTCCTGCCCTAAGAAGATCGTCTATCAAGCGATGGCTCCAACGGATGAGGCCGACCTGCGCAGCGATTCCGGTTACTGGCGTCTAAGCGGAAATGCCGAGGACGAGGTCGAAGGCTATGGTATTGGCGGGGCAAACCTGCTACGGCGTGGACGCACGCATGCTGGAAAGCCCGTCGTCCATCTTGTCGACGCGTACTGCAAGTCTCATCGCTTGCAGGTCTGTTGGGGTTACTCAGCGGAAACAATTGCAGCAACCCGCACTTTGGAGGACTGCTATCCCACGATCGTCGCTCTGCACGAACTCCACGCAGGGCCGCTGAGACCCACTCAATGGAAGGATCTACCCGAGATGGGCGGCCTGAACATCAAGGTCACTTTGTCCATCGATGCATAATGTGTCTTCAAGTTTTTGTCAAGCAAAGACTTGAATAATCCGAACTTCTGGGACACATCAGTTGGATCGCGCATTGTGTGCAGTGGTGTGACATTCGCGGCATGACCGCGGACGGCCACACCAAAGGGAGCATCGACAGCAACATGCTTTTACAGGTCATGGGAGGAACGCAATCCTTCAATCATGATTCGAAACGACACACTCCATACAGGGCTGGCCTGACAAGATCGGCTGAGCCGCCTGAGGAGCATTCGTCTGCAAGGTAACTAGCTTGCAAGAGAATTTGCCTACGGGTCAACCTCTCTTGTTGCGCCCGCCTGCTGCTGCCTACCCTGTGTAATTTAGTGTTTTGCTGTGCCGCTGGCGGCGGGCTCACGCTTCGTTTCCCCCCCCCCCGATTGTAAAAAAGATTGGGACAAAGGCGAGAGATAGCGAACGTTTGTCCGCGGCCGTTTGTGCTCAAGCGGCCGGCCGCCAACAATTGAGTGTGCCTCATCGCGAGGCACATTACTTGCCACTGAGACCGAAAACGTCTTCGTTTGACATGGCCCGTCGCTCCCGCGACGACCTCCTGCTTCTGGGACTATCGTTACTACGGTACAACAGAATTGGATATGGGTTTCGTCTTAGGCGAAACGTATGGTTGGGCCTCCCAACCCCCTTCAAACTCACACACCGATGACACCCCAAGGGGTCGGCGAATCGCCGTGAACCTGATCCCGTTCCCGCGGCTGCACTTCTTCATGACAGGTTTCGCCCCGCTCACGTCGAGAGGCTCCCAGCAGTACCGTGCTTTGACGGTGCCCGAGCTCACGCAGCAGATGTTTGACGCGAAAAACATGATGTGCGCAGCCGACCCGCGCCATGGCCGCTACTTGACTGCCGCTGCGCTGTTCCGCGGTCGCATGTCCACGAAGGAGGTGGATGAGCAGATGCTGAATCCAGGGGCTTCGCCTTCTGCCGCCGGCCCCATCATTGATGGATTCGCGGGGTGGGGGTCACCGGGTCGGTAGCGTGTGTGGCCCTTCCTGGGACGCTTGTTGGGGATTTTCGAGGCTACGTTGGCGTCTTGCTGGGCCACTTCGGGCCAAGCGTCTGGGGGGGCATCTTGACGCCGCCGCGGCCGTCCTGCTCGGAGACCAACAACTCTGGCAGCTCTGACGCCTGTTGGGGATTCTCGAGGCTACGTTGGCGCCTTGCTGGGCCACATCGGGCCACCTTGCGGCATAGTCTGGCTACCGTTGAATCTTCTTGGAGCATCTTGACGCCGCCGCGGCCGTCCTGCTCGGAGACCCTCGGCTCTGGCGCTTGATGGGGATTCTCGAGGCTACGTTGGCGCCTTGCTGGGCCACCTCGGGCCAACTGTTGGCATCGTCTGGCCACCGTTGAGTCCTCTTGGAGCGTCTTTGGGGGCATCTTTACGCCGCCGCGGCCGCTCTGCTCTGAGATCCCCAGCTCTGGCGCCTGTTGTGGATTCTCGTGGCTACGTTGGCGCCTTGCTGGGCTACCTCGGGCCACCTTGCGGCATCGTCTGGCCACCGTTGAGTCCTCTTGGAGCGTTGTGGGGGGCATCTTGACGCCGCCGCGGCCGTCCTGCTCGGAGATCCTCAGCTCTGGCGCCTGTTGGGGATTCTCGAGGCTACGCTGGCGCCTTGCTGGGCCACCTCGGGCCACCTCGGGCCACCTTGCGGCATCTTCTGGCCACCGTTGAGTCCACTTGGAGCGTCTTGGGGGACATCTTGACGCCGCTGCGGCCGTCCTGCTCGGAGACTCAGCTCTGGCGCCTGTTGGGGATTCTCGAGGCTACGTTGGCGCCTTGCTGGGCCACCTCGGGCCACCTTGCAGCATCGTCTGGCCACCGTTGAGTCCTCTTGGAGCGTCTTGGGGGGCATCTTGACGCCGCCGCGGCCGTCCTGGCCCTCAGCTCTGGCGCCTGTTGGGGATTCTCGAGGCTACCGCCTTGCTGGGCCACCTGGCGGCATCGTCCGGCCACCGTTGAGTCCTCTTGGAGCATCTTGACGCCGCCGCGGCCGTCCTGCTCGCAGACCCTCAGCTCTGGCGCCTGTTGGGGATTCTCGAGGCTACGTTGGCGCCTTGCTGGGCCACCTTGCGGCATCGTCCAGCCACCGGTAAGTCCTCTTGGAGCGTTGTGGGGGGCATCTTGACGCTGCCGCGGCCTTCCTGCTCGGAGACCCTCAGCTCTGGCGCCTGTTGGGGATTCTCGAGGCTACGTTGGCGCCTTGCTGGGCCACCTCAGGCAACCTTGCGGCATCGTCTGGCCACCGTTGAGTCCTTTTGGGGGGCATCTTGTCGCCGCCGCGGCCGTCCTGCTCGGAGACCCTCAGCTCTGGCGCCTGTTGGGGATTCTCGAGGCTACGTTGGCGCCTTTCTGGGCCACCTCAGGCCTCCTTGCGCCATTGTCCAGCCACCGTTGAGTCCTCTTGGAGCGTCTTGGGGGGCATCTTGATGCCGCTGCGGCCGTCCTGCTCGGAGACTCAGCACTGGCGCCTCTTGGGGATTCTCGAGGCTACGTTGGCGCTTTGCTGGGCCACCTCGGGCCACCTTGCGGCATCGTCTGGCCACCGTTGAGTCCTCTTGGAGCGTCTTGGGGGGCATCTTGACACCGCCGCGGCCGTCCTGCTCGGAGACCCTCAGTTCTGGCGCCTGTTGGGGATTCTCGAGGCTACGTTGGCGCCTTGCTGGGCCACCTCGGGCCACCACCTTGTGGCATCGTCCGGCCACCGGTAAGTCCTCTTGGAGCGTTGTGGGGGGCATCTTGACGCCGCCGCGGCCGTCCTGCTCGGAGACCCTCAGCTCTGGCACCTGTTGGGGATTCTCGAAGCTACGTTGGCGCCTTGCTGGGCCACCTCGGGCCACCTTGCGGCATCGTCCAGCCACCGTTGAGTCCTCTTGGAGCGTCTTGGGGGGCATCTTGACGCCGCCGCGGCCGTCCTGCTCGGAGACCCTCAGCTCTGGCGCCTGTTGGGGATTCTCGAGGCTACGTTGGCGCCTTGCTGGGCCACCTCGGGCCACCTTGCGGCATCGTCTGGCCACCGTTGAGTCCTCTTGGAGCGTCTTGGGGGGCATCTTGACGCCGCCGCGGCCGTCCTGCTCGGAGACCCTCAGCTCTGGCGCCTGTTGGGGATTCTCGAGGCTACGTTGGCGCCTTGCTGGGCCACCTCGGGCCACCTTGCGGCATCGTCCGGCCACCGTGGAGTTCTCTTGGAGCGTTTTGGGGGGCATCTTGACTGTTGGGGATTCTCGAGGCTACGTTGGCGCCTTGCTGGGCCATCTCGGGCCACCTTGCGTCATCGTCTGGCCACCCTTGAGTCCTCTCGGAGCGTCTTGGGGGGCATCTTGACGCCGCCGCGGTCGTCCTGCTCGGAGTCCCTCAGCTCTGACGCCTGTTGGGGATTCTCGAGGCCACGTTGGCGCCTTGCTGGGCTTCCTCGGGCCAGCTTGCGGCATCATCGGGCCACCGTTGAGTCTTCTTGGAGCGTCTTGGGGGGCATCTTGACGCCGCCGCGGCCGTCCTGCTCGGAGACTCTCAGCTCTGGCACCTGTTGGGGATTCTCGAGGCTACGTTGGCGCCTTGCTGGGCCACCTCGGGCCACCTCGCGGCATCGTCTGGCCACCGTTGAGTCCTCTTGGAGCGTCTTGGGGGGCATCTTGACGCCGCTGCGGCCGTCCTGCTGGGAGACTCAGCACTGGCGCCTGTTGGGGATTCTCGAGGCTACGTTGGCGCCTTGCTGGGCCACCTCGGGCCACCTTGCAGCATCGTCTGGCCACCGTTGAGTCCTCTTGGAGCGTCTTGGGGGGCATCTTGACGCTGCCGCGGCCGTCCTGCTCGGAGACCCTCAGCTCTGGCGCCTGTTGGGGATTCTCGAGGCTACGTTGGCGCCTTGCTGGGCCACCTCGGGCCACCTTGCGGCATCGTCCGGCCACCGTTGAGTCCTCTTGGGGGGCATCTTGACGCAGCCGCGGCCGTCCTGCTCGGAGACCCTCAGCTCTGGCGCCTGTTGGGAATTCTCGAGGCTACGTTGGCGCCTTGCTGGGCCACCTCGTGCCACCTTGCGGCATCGTCTGGCCACCGTTGAGTCCTCTTGGAGCGTTTTGGGGGGCATCTTGACGTGCTCGGAGACCCTCAGCTCTGGCGCCTGTTGGGGATTCTAGAGGCTACGTGGCGCCTTGCTGGGCCACCTCGGGCCACCTTGCGGCATCGTCCGGTCACCGTTGAGTCCTCTTGGAGCGTCTTGAGGGGCATCTTGACGCTGCCGCGGCCGTCCTGCTCGGAGACCCTCAGCACTGGCGCCTGTTGGGGATTCTAGAGGCTACGTTGGCGCCTTGCTGGGCCACCTCGGGCCACCACCTTGCGGCATCGTCCAGCCACCGGTAAGTCCTCTTGGAGCGTCTTTGGGGGCATCTTGACGCTGCCGCGGCCGTCCTGCTCGGAGACCCTCAGCTCTGACGCCTGTTGGGGATTCTCGAGGCTACGATGGCGCCTTGCTGTGCCACCTTGGGTTACCTTGCGGCATCGTCTGGCCACCGTTGAGTCCTCTTGAAGCGTCTTTGGGGGCATCTTGACGCCACCGCGGCCGTTCTGCTCGGAGACCCTCAGCTCTGGCGCCTGTTGGGGATTCTCGAGGCTACGTTGGCGCCTTGCTGGGCCACCTCGGGCCACTTTGCGGCATCGTCTGGCCACCGTTGAGTCCTCTTGGAGCATCTTGAGGGGTATCTTGACGCCGACGCGGCCGTCTTGCTCGGAGATCCTCAGCTCTGGCGCCTGTTGGGGATTCTCGAGGCTAAGTGGGGGCCTTTCTGGGCCACCTCGGGCCACCTTGCGGCATTGTCCAGCCACCGTTGAGTCCTCTTGGAGCGTCTTGGGGGGCATCTTGTCGCCGCCGCGGCCGTCCTGCTCGGAGACCCTCAGCTCTGGCGCCTGTTGGGGATTCTAGAGGCTACGTTGGCGCCTTTCTGTGCCACCTCAGGCCACCTTGCGGCATCGTCTGGCCACCGGTAAGTCCTCTTGGGGGGCATCTTGACGCCGCCGCGGCCGTTCTGCTCGGAGACCCTCAGCTCTGGCGCCTGTTGGGGATTCTCGAGGCTACGTTGGCGCCTTTCTGGGCCACCTCGGGCCACCTTGCGGCATTGTCCAGCCACCGTTGAGTCCTCTTGGAGCGTCTTGGGGGGCATCTTGACGCCGCCGCGGCCGTCCTGCTCGGAGACCACCAGCTCTGGCGCCCGTTGGGGATTCTCGATGCTACGTGGCGCCTTGCTGGGCCATCCCGGGCCACCTTGCGTCATCGTCTGGCCACCGTCGACTCCTCTTGGAGCATCTTGGGGGGCATCTTGACGCCACTGCGGCCGTCCTGCTCGGAGACCCTCAGCTTTGGCGCCTGTTGGGGATTCTCGAGGCTACGTTGGCGCCTTGCTGGGCCACCTCGGGCCACTGTGGCATCGTCTGGCCACCGTTGAGTCCTCTTGGAGCGTCTTGGGGGGCATCTTGACGCCACCGCGGCCGTCCTGCTCGGAGTCCCTCAGTTTTGGCGCGTGTTGGGGATTCTCGAGGCTACGTTGGCGCCTTGCTGGGCCACCTCGGGCCACCTTGCGGCATCGTCTGGCTACCGTTGAGTCCTCTTGGAGCGTTTTGGGGGATATCTTGACACCACCGCGGCCGTCCTGCTCGGAGGCCCGCGCCTGTTGGGGATTCTCGAGGCTGTGTTGGCGCCTTGCTGGACCACCACGGGCCATCTTGCGGCATCGTCTGGCCATCGTTGAGTCCTCTTGGAGCGTCTTGGTGGGCATCTTGACGCCACCGCGGCCGTCCTGCTCGGATTCCTTCAGCTCTGGCGCCTGTTGGAGATTCTCGAGGCTACGTTGGCGCCTTGTTGGGCCACCTTGGGTCACCGTTGAGTCGTCTTGGAGCGTCTTGGG